ACTAACAATACGACCAAGTTGCGAAAACAAGGTCAAACAACTTTAATAGTATCGAAAGTTAGAAAATTAAACATTAACAATAGAAAAATTGACAAATATTCCATCATTAGAAACTGGGGAAGAGTTCTCGTTGACAGTGAGTCCACTTTCAATAATTGACCGAAAACTATCTAATGCCAGGAAATTGAGTACAATTAGCATATTAGCTTAGCTATCACCTTTCTTTGATATTCAACTTTCGCAAGATTTCGCTATTCTTTTATCAAATATCTGCAACAAATTAATTTTTAGCGTGTCGACAATGATAAAGAATTATATTATTATTACTAGATTTGATCGCGTTTAACTATATTTCTCCCGGTAAAACATAAATGCTATAATTGATTATGTTAAGAACCGATATGCTTTAGAAGGATATCTAACACTTCGTGCCACCATGTGCAATGGCAGGTATTTTAGTTAAAATAAGTACTAAATACATTGCAATGCCTGACAAAAAGTTATTTAAAGTAAACAAATAGAGCAGGAGCAAAAATAGCAACATTCGTGGTGGAAGCCAATGTTTTGATGTAGGCTATTGTTTCAGTAATTACTAAAAATAGGGCTAGCAATGGTTGCAAGGGTTACAGTACCACTTATTTGTAGGTAGTCTATATAATTAAATTGACAGTCAGAGTTCCTTAAGACATTAAATCACATGCTTATAGAATGAAAATGCAGTAATAGACGCTTACCATTTTTAGGGCAGCCCTTCCCATCAAAACCACATCGGGGTACATCCGGAGGAGGTTCGTTGGCTTCGTTCACCCAGTCGATTTTGCGGTTAGCCACTTCTTCGTATTGCTGATTCTGACCAACGTAGTCAGCGACAACCTGCAAAAGTAAGTGAAGCAAAAACAAAACTATAAAAAAGAACATGAATGAAAGGGGAAAAAATGGTTATTAATAAAGGGCTTGTATCTTTTACCGGTAATTTAGAGTAGATTAGGTTGGACGTTACCGAGCGATATAAGTAAAAATTTTCTCACATCGAAAATAGACTGCAGATTTAACTCGTAATCTTCTGATCATTACCTTTAGAGGAACTAAGACTGGTGGGATGAATAGGACGTGTATAGATTGTATGGCTTATGAGGTCTTTTAATTATAGATAATTTTTTTCCGTAATTCAACTCTCGAATAATCTCTGGACAGATAGGTCACTAAAAATGCAATGACAATGAGATAGAAATTTTAGCCGCGAAGGTCTGTTTAATAAACAAGTAAACTAGTATACAGTAAATAGTAATAAGGTTAGATAACGCAACGGGTAGCTAATTTATTCTGTCATTGGCCGCAATTTAAGAAATCTGATCTAAGCTGATATTTGAATTGAAAGGAGGAAAGTATTCATAAATTCCGAGTTAGGCTAAGTTTTCCTGCAAATAGTTGTTAATACCACCTAAAATTCAAGTCTTTTAGGTTTACTAAATCATATTATTATTTTTGCGTAAATATATCTTAAAGGGAACATTCCTAA